TAGCGGAAAAAGTAAAAAAATGAGCCATTTGGCGGTCAAAAATGATCATTAGACATATGCACATCAAATTATCAGATATTTTATAGAGATTTTAACAATAAGTATAAATTTTGTTTACATTCCTATGGGTTCCGTACCAATGTTTATCCGTTAGACAGCGACGCGGCGCTTACGCGCTTTATATTTTATCTCTATACAGTTAAAGCAGTATGATTGCTTTGAAAAAAAGTTCAGATCTTCCAAAATATGTCAAAATAAAGAAAACATTTTTTTTTTCAAAAAAAGTAATTTTTTGTCCAATTTATAATTTCTTAAAAATCTTATTTCTTCAAAGTAAATTTTTTTCAAAAATGTTAATCGTTTTTAAAAAAAATAATAATTTTTGGTACGGGAAGTTCCAGCAATTTGCCTTAAGGCACGATGCCTTAATTGCCTTAAGACGGAATTCCACTTACAGCTAGTTCTTTATTATAGAAAAACTTTCCAGTTTTTGAATGTGGAAAATTGTGCTTTTCTGTGCATTTTAGTGTGGTTTTAGATAATATTTAGTAACAAACAAATTATTTTCCGTGCGTTAATAAAAGTAATTGATTTGAGCTACTACTGGCTACTACCCTGCCACCCCCTCTTCAATTACGAATGCTAAAGATCGATACGGAATATGGACCTTACACCTCATACGAACACACTGAAATAAACAAACTCTGTATCCCATGGCGCACGAGGGTGCCAATGATTTCTTGTTCTACGTAGACGTAGCTCTGCTACGCACATTCTATTCGCATACATGCACGTAGGCATATATGTAGTCGTAGTAATGAAAGTTTTCGCGTTCGATATATTATAATAATGCGCAATAAATAAATATGCATACAAGCATACACACCATATATGTGTATATGTACATATATACAGTAAAACCCCGTTAAGACGACTTCCCATAGAACAGATCAAAAACGCGTTCATATATTTATATCAAGTTTTCTTTATTGTATTTAACAGATTGCAATATTGTATTCTTAGCCATTGTTTCCCTACAGAGTTACTTGTTGTCCATTTCAGGACAGATGTAATTGTTACTAAACTAGTGGTGTATGGCATCGTGCCTTAAAGCAAATCGTTAGAACTTCCCATGCCAAAAATGATTTTTTTTTTTTAAATTAAATATGTTTTAAACTTTGAAAACTATTTAGTTTCGTATTTAGCCTTGAGGCAAGTTACATGAACTTCCCGATATGTGTAAATAATCGACTTAATCAATAAAAAATAAATTAATTTATGAGTGATTTTCACCTAAAACTAGTCAGTATCATCCCCAACTAATATCTTTCGAACAGTTTTTGATTTTTTGAAATCGGTTCGGTAGTATGAGCTTAAATGTGGACGAAAGGTTTAACACTTCTTTCCAAATTACAAAGGAACGGTTCGGCCGATCGTCGCACAAAACTGAGAAACGATAATCCTCATCGAGATACATCAAATGCTTTTTAAATATCTGAAATCGGTACAGGCGTTTTTGAGCAAACGTCGATGAAAGTTCTAATTTTGACAAATGCCAAAAAGACCATACTAATTTTTGCAAAGTTTGACGAATTTTTAAAGCTAAACCAGTTGTCGTAGGGCCATAATACTTTAGTATAATCTAGAAGACTATGGTATCTACCGTCAAAAAAATAATCATAAAAATCGTCGAATTTTTTTTTTTAACTTTATTACAAGAAAACGGCCCGGCCGATCTCTGCCAAAAACTAATCAGCACGATTCCCAAACAATATCTTTCGAACGGTTTTTGAATTTTCAAAATCGATTCAGAATTGCGGGCTAAAACGTAGATGAAAAATTTTTCATTTTTCTGCTATTTATAAAGAAACGGCTTGGCCGATCGTCGCACAAAATTGACAAACAATAGTCCTCATCGAGATACATCGAGTGGCTTTTAAATTTTTGAAATCGGTCCAGCCGTTTTCGAGAAAACGTCAATTTACGGCAAAAAATCTGTTCACATACTCGCACACACACACACACATACTTTTTCGAAATTTGATCTCATTCGATTCAGAATGGCTTGAAACGTCGAGAAAACATAAAATTAGCAATTCGGATTTTTTAATGAAAACATAAACTTCTCCTTCGGGAAGTTAAAAATAGATTTTTGAGAAATTTTAAATTTTTGAAAACTTATTTAAATTAACGAAAATTGGTATCCTCACACTTATGTTTTCTATCTGTAAGGTATGCCAAAATGTTCAGAAACCTTTGAAACGTAAAGATATATAAAAAATTTCATTTTCGATTTTTTTGCGATTACTATAACTTGCCCTACGGGAAGTTGATAACAATAAAAACTATTGGTGCATGGCATCGTGCCTTAAGGCAAATTGCTGGTACTTTCGGTACCGTCATTTAAAAATATTAAAAGCTTTGAATTTTTCTGAAAATTGGGAGAATTAGATTTTTGTGAAATTTGAAAATATAGATTAATTATATTTTGATTCTTTTGATTCTTGAATTTTCAGTTTTTTTCACAGCTGAAAAATCGCTGCTTATCTATTTTAGAGACAAAATATTAAAGCGTGTAGCGCAGCGTTGCAGTCTAAATGGTTGTAAACATTATAAATTTTGATGTAATGGGAACAAAATTTGTACTAGTTATTTCAAACTCTATAAAATATCTAATAATTTGAAGACATTTTTTATTTTTTCATTGAAGCGGCTAGATATGTCTTTATTGATTTAATCAAATCTTCATTTCGCCAATACAAGTAAAATGTTTTTTGAATTATTCAAATCGGACGCTCCATTTTCTCAAAAACCGATTTGCCATTTTTGGCACTTTTTGCCCCGTATCTTCGCAACGGCTGGACCTGCCCTTGCCAAAAACTAATTAGCACGTCTGCCCATCAATGCAAATCGAATGTTTTTTGAATTATTCAAAATATGCATCCATTTTTTCTAAAGAATGCCAAAATGTTTAGAAACCTTTAAAACGTAAAGATGTAACTTTCGATTTCTTTGCAATTACTATAAGAAAAGATTGCACTTTTTAATTCTGTTGTTCAAACTTTGCATTGAATTGATTAAGTAACGCAGATATTATTCCGTAAAATCTCTTCAAAATTAAAAACAAACTATGTAGTTGTAGTAAGTGGCATTTTGCCTTATGGAATGTCGAATGTGTAAATAAGCGTTTAATCAAAAAGAAATAAATATATTAATTTATTAGTAAGTATGCCGAGATGCTGCAGATTATTCAATTTTGTACAACATCTTTATTACACATTATTGAGAAGCGAACCGTGCCTAATGCAGGAAGATTAATCTAAATTTGAATTAATTTTTATATTTAAACCACTTTTCGTCGGACTATAATTTTAGTTGTTTGTTAAGACTGCGTACTTTTTAACCAAGCATTCATGAAAATTAATTAATCAATTACAAAGAAACAACCTGGCTTATCTTTGTCAAAAAATAATCAGCACGATTTCCAAATATAACGTGGAAAAAAAATTGTGCACTTTTCTAATAATTCTAAAGAAATGTCTAAGTCGATCGTATCAAAAAACTAACTAATGCAAATGCTTATCAAGTTTCGTCGAATGACTTCTTAATTTATACTTATATATATATATATATATATATATATATATATATATATATATATATATCAACCAATACATCAAATAAAAATAAGTACTCAATTCAAATATGTATTAATTGCACTAGTTTCGACACCTATATGGGTGTCATATATGTGAATATATTCCTGGGCCTAAACAGGATGAAGGTTTTCAACATCAATTTGGATTATTCGTCTTCATGTATGGGTATTCGTCTTCAATCAATATCATTAATTTTTTAATACTATGGGATTACATTATGAGCGACCCATCAAGATAAAATTTTCCAATTATTCTTTTTTATATGAAAAATTAATTCTATTTTTTTATTCAAAAATAAAAAAATACTCCATACATTATATGACATAATATAACATTTTATAATTATGTCATATAATGTACTAATGTATATAATAACTAATTTATATAATATAATGTATAATAAATATATAATATCATTATTTAAATTCTTATAATTGGAAGTTTTTATATAATGTTTTAATTTAATTTTGTTTAATGTTTTTACAAAATTATTATATTTTAGCTGGAAGTTGATACTCATTTAAGTGTCAAAACTAGTACAATGAGATACATATTTAATTTGAGTGCTTACTTTTTATTGGGGCACTGCGGTGTAAAATGGCAATGGGAAATCTCTCACTATTCTTCCCTGAATCGAGTTGAGGTTTTAACTCAGCTCACGGACCTGCCCTAGGGCAGTACACCCATTATTATTTTATTATATATATATATATATATATATATATATATACACCTAAGTCTGTTTTTACACGGTCTTTTTGTACACGGTTTTGATATAACACGGTTTGAAAATTGAATATTTTTAATTTTTTTACACGATTTTATTCCATTTAGCACGATTTGAAATTTTATGTACTTAATTTTTTTTGTCAAATTTAATTTTTGCGAAGTATGTTCATATCACAAAAAAGAATTTATGAAAGAAAAAAGGCTGAAACCATCGATAGTATCGATAGTTTGCGAACTGGTCAAAGCAAATGTGAATAGCACTAATTTAATTCTTGTTCTTAAAAATTCTTGTTTTTAACCAATTTTGATAGGTTTTAGAGATTAGGAACAAATCACCCATTTTTGTATAAGATCAATGTCTTTTTTTACACGTTTTTTTTTTTACACGGCTTCTTCTGGAACCAATCTCCGTGTAAAAACAGACTTAGGTGTATATATATATATATATGATTGTTTGATTCTTTTCCGAATAGTAAATCCAATAATGAAAAACAATTTGTTTTTTGAAGATATTGATTGGATTGAAAAAATCCAGGACTTATGTATTGAATAAATATATATTATATATATATATATATATATATATATATATATATATATATATAGTATTACCTGGAAATTGATGGTTTGTGTGACAGATCTCATAGAATCTGCATAGTTTCTTAGGACAGTATCTGTATTAGAGCACTCATTTCTCCACTCAAAAAGCCTGTCTAATGTGTCTGCACATCTTTCACATATTCTTTTTGGAAGAAAGTCATCTTTTGTAACCTGTAAAAAAATGCTTGGGCATTATATTTGAATATTAGATTAAAATATCTACATTCCAATTTACTTCACAATACAAATCTAATTTAAATGATATGATATTTGGACTTACAGAAGTAGCAAGACAGGATCGAATTTTATACAAAATCTGTCTTTCTTCGCCTTCTTTATCAAAAATATTAATTCTAGTACCATTTTTTAACGAGCATAATCTACATAAATCAGCGAAGGCTGTAAAACTTAATTCATCTGCATCTGTCATTGTTTAACCAATCGAAATCGATTTCAATAAAGTTTAAAATGTGTTTTAATTGTTCATAATATTTATTTTGGTTTTAGATTTTCGTTAAAATATTCTAAAATCAACATTTTATAGTGTTGTCGAAAATTTAAATTATAAACATTTTATTGACATTTATTAACTACCAATCAAAACACAAGCAACAAAAGCATAGATAGTTGAATTTTGGTTCTATAGACAGTCATACAGATACGGCCAAAAGAATGGATTTTCACCGTTTGTTATTAATTATTACCATTTATAATTATAATATTATAATTATAATATAATAACCGACCATGAAAAATATTATTAAACTATGGTCTACAATAGTTGTGAGTTGATATATCAAAAATATTTAATTTACTACATTGGTTTTTATTCTCCTATGTTGGCAACCGTTGTTAAGGCTTGGATTTTTTTATCTATGGCGATTGTTAACTGTCAATACAATCCCGCGTATTTTTGCAGTTGTTTCTTGTTAATTTTTTAGTTCTTCATTGCCAATTTATTTTGCCAGTTAAATTGCCGTAAAAATAGTTAAATAATGACTTATAAAAAAGTAAATGGAGCATATATGAGAATGTGTCAAGGGAGTTCAGTTTCGTTGATGGGACTGGTGAACAATGCCGATAGATCTGGAAGATTTATTAATGTTCTTACTACAGATAACGTGAATGTTAAGGTACGGTTCATAAATTTGATCAAGAATATCTATGTCGTACTTCGAGACATATTCTTTATTTTAATATATTCAAATTATTTTGGGTTTTAGGTTATTTTAAACGAACCTCTTAGTGAGCCTTTGAGTGGATGGATAGAAATAATAGGTCAACCTGTTGGAAAAGATTCCATAAATTGTAATCAATATGTAATCATAGGATCAGATGAACAAACAGAAGACTTTGATAAGAAAGCATACAATTATCTAGTGCAAGTTTTAAACAATGCTACTGATCCTTTTGAAATAGCTCCGTGAACTTGTTGTATAATACTATATTTACTTTTTTATTTATTTTATAACAAACGTATAACTTATTTTTCTAATAAAATGAAATAAATCTATTCATGATTTTTAAAACTCAAAAACTGCTATAAAAAGGTTAGATTATTATAAAGAAAAAATAGTTAAATAATTATACATTACTTTTTAATTTACATTATTTACACATTTTACATATATATTATTTTCCTGACCATATGTTTACTCTGCCATTCTCAAAAGCTAAACATTTTTTTGGAAGTGGAGTTAAAAAACCTCTCTTTATGATGCCCATATTCTCGCCTGGATAGTACTGAAATTAATTTTTCAATCAATTACTACTTATATTAACTTAAATTAAAAGATATCAATAACATTGTATCAAAATAATTATAATACAAATTTCATAAATCACAAATAATATCATACCTGACATTGGGATATAAAATCCAATAAATTATCACTAAGCCTTTTATTTGCCCCAACTATTCTCGAAAGACTATAAAAAAAAAAGTTAATAAATATGAAAAACTAGTTGAAAGTTAAGGCAAGTTGCATGAACTCTCTGAAAAGTATAATAATTGACTTAATCAACCAAAATTAAGATTTAGATATTTAGATCAAATTTTCAACTGTTCATTTTGCAAATAAAGTTCAGTTAATTATAAACATTGCTATTTCCAATTGATATCCCTCAAACACATTTAAATTCGGTTCAGTTGTTTTTGGGTAAACATCGACAAAAGGTCAAAAAGGCTCACATACACACATACGCTTTATAGATACACACACACACACATACTTTCTCTCAATTTTATCTCATTCGATTCAGAATGGGTTTAAAATTATGAATTTCTCCTTTGGGAAGTTAAAAACTAATAAAAATAACATACTTTTCATCAGATTGCAGTCGTTGCACTATTGCATCGCAGATATGTGTGTTTGCGTCAGCATCAAACAATGGTATTCCAAAGCAACAATCCAATAATGTCCACTCCTTAAAACAAATCACATCAATTTTAAATAGTTTTATAATTTCCATTCAATATAAATATTTCTTATTTATAATGTTATTCATGAAATAGTAATTATAGATTTAGACTTGACTTCAATGAAATTAACAGAAACCGGTTAAATTTAATAATGTGAAGCGAAGTAAAAAGAATTCAATTAAGCAAGGGTCAAAACTAGGCTTTAAAGTTTTAATGATTATCCATTAAAGCAGAAGAACATTTATTATCTAACTATAATTAGAATTAATGAAACATAAATAGGAATTTTGGACTAAAACCTATAAAGATTTCAAAACACCACAAATTTAACTAAATAATAAAAATGTCTACAAAATATAACAAAAATCTTCATAACATAAGCAATCAATATTAAAACAAAAGTTGTCAAGTACCTGTTCTTTATTGACAATTTGGCCATCTGATTTATCAATATCGATTTCTTCATTAATTTGGGCATTATCTTCTTTACATTCACTTTTATCAACTATTGAAAACATAGATATGTTTTCATCTACAGGACTGAGAAGTTCATCTGCTGTTAAAACTGTTCCGCCTTGTTTTTGAGACGTTTCAGTCTCACACATATTTTGGCATGTTTGAGTCTCACATTTGATTTGACTGTTTATTTCCAAATTATCTAACTCTTCTTGTAAAATTTCATTGCAATCTGAGCTCGTAAAACAGTTTGAAGGCGAATATCCTGAATGTGATGATTTAACAGGAGTGATTGAAAAGTGTGATTCATCAGGCGACTGAAGTTTATCTATAGTTGAAACATCAGACGCTTTTATTTCATCAGTTGGCATATCCTGTAAAAGCTCACTCTCAATTTCATTTACTACTGTTTTTTTTGCAAAACTGAAGTTATCATTTGATAAAGTAGTTTCAGAACATGTGCCTTTAATATCTACAAAAAATTTAAATGATATTTCTTGAATAAAATCCTTGATAGAAATTGACATAGATATTATCGTATACAATACCTGATATTTTATCTATGTTTTTTCCTAATCGAACATTTGGATCATGGTCTTCACAACCAATATCAATTACTCCAGTATTTACAAAAGTGATGTATCCGCATGTACTTTCCATATCAATATATTTAGATAATAGTTTTATTGCTGGATGTTGATGCCATCTTATCTCATTATTACCTGTTTTGTTATAAATATATATTTCAATTGTATCAACATATACATTTTTTTTATCTGATGATGAAAAGAGAGAAAAATTACCAGATTTCATTTCATTAAATGGAAACGCAATAACTTTGGTAGTAGCGGCATTAAATGTTCCATAGGCTTGAATAATTACCGGTGTATATTTTAGTGACTCATTTATAGATAAAAGTGATGTCGCAGAAATAACTGCTGGTTCATGTAGCCAAGATGTAACTAACAATTTAGAATATCCCAGAAACAAACGAGGCATTTGTTTTAATCGAGTACCTATATGAAATGAATTACCAGGTTAAAAATTTTCTATCACATCTTGTAACCACAATTGTAAATAGAATATTCACCTTTTGTCAAAAGTAAGGTTGGAGGACCATACCCACTCATGTGGTATACATAAAGCTTGAACCATAATGAATTTACTTCTGGAGCAGGTGGCCCCAAATGCGGTGGTTCCAAAGGGCTCACTAATGCACCTTCTCGTCCAAGCGGAGCCATTGAAATCAATAATCTACGAAAGAATTATTTGGACAATCAAACAACTAAAACATCATTTACTAATTGTGAGTATCATTGCACCTTAAGGCAATTTTAGATTTATTTAAATTTAGATTACTTAATATTAGATTTATTTACATTTAGATTAGAATCACGTAAGTGCGCGGCGGATTTCTAAACTTCGATGATTTTTTATAATTGAAGTGCTTATCGAAGGCCTATAATATTTTAGTACGTTATTTTATACTATAAAATCTATACAAAGTTGCATCAAAATCGTCAAAAAATTATTTAAAAAATTCAAATATTTATTTAAATATTATAAATATGATTCCAAAAATAATTCGAAATTTTTGATCACCATTAATATGATCACCAGAAAGAATTTCATAAGGATGTACAATCTCATAATATTTATATATTTTCAAACAAATAAACAAGTAAATGTTTATGTATACATACATACTTATATTTACGTTTGAGTAATCTTTCACAAGTTCCTCTATCTAGTGCTTGTAAGCTTTCTTGTCTAAGCAAGTCCATTCCAAATGGTGAAAGACTTCTAAGCCTTAAAATTGTTGAACGCAAATGAACTGCATGAGCAAAGAACCGACATGCATCACCCTCACCATCTGAGTCCAATAAAGACACCTGTTTTTGCAAAATGATATTAAAAATCAAGGCACAACTTGAAAATAGATTTACTAACCTTATCTAATTCAACCAGAAAACTATCTAAGCTTTCATCGCATAGTTTTCCCACTTCAAACATGGTCACGGCATGGTTCTTTAAACCCTAATAAAAAGAAAAACAATTTTTGTAGCACAAAGGTAATACAAGGGTTCTACATGTGCAATACTATTTAATTTTATTTATAACAATTATTGTATAAATAGGCTCAAAATATATATTTATACATACTGGTGATAAATTGCCCATCATTAAAAAAGCTGTTAATGCAGAATCAAATAAGAATCCAATTCTTGGTCCAGATCGATTGCATGAATCAACTGGTGTTTTCGGAGATGTATTTAATGTTGGTTTTATATTACAATCTGGAGAAGTAGGAGGTGTTAATGCAGAATCAAAAGTCAAGGGTGTAACTGGACTTCTAAAAGTTATAAGCATAAGTTATTTACAGAGTTAAAAATAATTCCTATCCAAAGCAAATAAACTTACGGTTTTATAGGATTTGTTCGATTTAACCAAGATGGATGTAATTTATCAGAACTCAATTCAAAATTATCAAACTTTTTATAAGCAAAACCAAGTCTACAATATAGAGACACAGCTTGCTTTACCGAATCTAGTTCTATCTGTAGTACTGTAGCCAACTAAAACAATATTAAGTAATTATTAATATTAAATAGATTTTCAAATTTTTCATATTTTATTTGCAATTATTGTTTATTGACTTTTATTAATGCTTGAAGAAACACATTTTAACTAACTTATTAACACCAAGAAAATTTTGTATTTCGAAATAAACAGTTGAACATTTTACATAAATATTTCAATCTCAATCAATAAGTGAATTAAAAACTTTAATAGATAAAGAAAATAAAACAGTAAATTTTAAATCCTATTTCTATCTTTCAACTTGATCTTTGAAAATTTAAAAAAAAATCATAACTTGATCCTTGAACAAAACTAATATCAGTATTTAATGTAAATATTTGTAATTATCTAATATATATTATATTTATAAGTCAACTATACCTCAGATATAGATGTATGTTCATCAATTGACACAAAAATTTTATATAGAAGCGACTCAAAATAATCACCGGTAAGTCGATTCATTACAAAGCCTTGCAATGGAGGGACAGACACATAATCTGCCCCTGTTATTGGTACATCTAAATACACTAACCCTCGTCTGCAGAAAAAAATATTTTATTGAATTTATTGTATTATATTTATTTATTAATATTTAGTTGGTAAAAGTTCAAGCAATATTTTTACTTATATAGGCTGCTGACTACTTTATAATCAAGTTCGCCAATTGTTTGAGATCCATGATCTATAAGTTTATCTATTAAATTCTTTTCTGCTTCTGAAACATACTAAACATATAATATTTTTTTAATAAAAGTTGGTCTCTAAATTGAAATAAGCTAGCAGAGGAAAATACTTACTTTTATATCATTCTCTAAAACGTATCCTAACTCTAATCTCCACCATGGTTCCATATGAATATCAATTGGTAATCGTGGCAGCAGGCTTAGCAGTTGAGGTTTTCTAAACAGTTTACTTCTCAGGCCTCTACTTTGATTCATTAATTCAATATATTCATTGCGACCAACGCCAATCAATCGTAAACCTTAAAATTTAAAATATATTATTATCAAATATGTTGTATTCGAACAACAAACATTTGAATTCGAACTTGGAAGATTTTCAACATTTGCAAAGCTAATATTTATTATTAATGAAATAGCTACTGATAATCAAAATTGGTTATTAATAAACTCACAATCAGCAGCTGTGAAGTTTGGTAAAGTATCATAGCTCCTTTCCTGCTTCATCAATTCCTCTAGCATATCAATATAGTAATTAAATGGTGTAACTCTTAATCCTTTCACTATTATATCAGCAAGGTGATATGGGAATAACATGAGGCACTCATTACTAAATCTAACCAAAAATTCATAGTATTGTTCTTCATCTCGAAACACCTGCCGAACTAGATGACCATTGAATAAAATATTATTCAAAGAAACATCAAATGTAATTTCATTTTAAATAGTCTGAACATAAATGTTACAATATTCAAATGGAGAAAAGCTATTACACAAATATATTAATAAACATTTGAAAAGATATCGACCTAGTTTTCATTCTGGTATTTCTCTCACAATGTATGCATTGCCATAATAAATTTTTCAAACTTACCTAAATTACCACGATATCTCAACTGTTTTTTAAGACTGATGTTAAGTATATGTTTTTCATATTCTGATTGAGAAATCAGCAACTGCAATTAAACAAATCATGTAAATATATATGCTTATAAGTAACATGTAATAAGCAAGTACCTGTTTCAGATGAGAAGGCAATTGTGCCCAAGGAATGTTTTTGCATATATTAATTTCTATGTCATTACTCATATTATACTAATTGTTGATTTACATGTCTTCAGAAAGAATATAACATGCTATTAATAAATTATCTAAACTGATGTAAATTATTATTATTGTTGTTTAATAAAAATTAAATTGCTCATTATCTCTGTACATTTTTTCTCTAGATCTTATCTGCTAGGTGTCGATTTTGGCTGTCACTTTACACACGTAGACGTTAGAGCATTAAGCAGACAAAAAAATTATATGAAAATAGATGGAATGTTGTGTGCTTTGTACTTATTACTAGCTCGCAGCTGACAGTGTCAGTGTGTGCACGTGGATGAAGTGTTTTGATACTTATATTTTGTGTACGATGTTGTTTAATAGTGCTTAATTAAAAAGACTTTGAACCCTAGAAAAATATGAGGTTTTTAACAATCTGCTAATATTTAGTATTTATTTTTGTATCTGATGCGAAGATTTTGAATCAATTAATAGGCTTCAGTATCATTATTAACAAGCGTGTATATGCCAGCCTGAAAACAATATTACACTGCAATACTTATAATATCTCTGTTAAAAAGTTGACATAACATCCTAAACCTAAAGAAGTCAATCGAATAAAATTTAGACAATATGTTGGAAGTTTGTGTAGATAGTATTGAATCTGCAATTGCAGCATCTGAAGGAGGTGCGAAGAGAATTGAGTTGTGTGCTGCACTGAGTGAAGGTGGACTTACACCTACGCCAGGTTTATTAAAAATTGTAAAAAACAACGTAAGTTAACAGTTATATATTTTTAATTAACGACAGCCCAAATTTTATAATATTTTTTTTTGTTTATATATATATAAATATAATATATATATATATATATATATATATATATATATATATTTAATTATTCATAAATTATTATTTAGATCAAGCCATCAGTGGATGTGTATGTCATGCTCAGGCCACGCAATGGTAATGATTTTGTTTACTCTGATGAAGAAATCTATATTCTGCTTGAAGATATTAAAATATTTAAAGCTTTAAAGCAAATGGTTTTGTATTTGGAGCCTTAACACCCTCAGGGTTAATTGATGAAACTAAATGTCAATTAATAGTGAATGCTTGTAAACCATTACCCGTTACATTTCATAGAGCATTTGATGTAAGCAGTAATCCATTTGTGCATTGGAAACAATAATAAAATTAGGTTTTGTGAGGATACTAACAAGTGGTATGGCTAAAAATGCAGAAGATGGTCTTGATAATATAAAACTATTAGTGATTCAGGCTGGAAATAGAATTTCTATAATGCCCGGATGTGGTATTACAACTGAAAATGTTAGAGACATTTTCTTTGCTTCATGTGTTAAAGAAATACATGCTTCGGCTAGAGTTAAAAAAAATTTAAACTTGAGTCGAGAGATTAATATAAATTTTAGTAATAGCGACGAATGTACATATGTCACAGATGCAAAACTTGTCCAAGAACTCGTAAATTCTATTATCTAAATTACAGTGACACCCCGCATTACGTAAATAATTTGTTCTGGGAGAAAGTTTGTTGTGCGGAAACTTTGCTATGCAAAACGGTTTTTCCCTTTAAATACATGAAAATAAAATTAATTCGTTCTGTACTTTGAAATGCGGTCATAGAAAATAAGATATATTTTACATATAATAAAGGCATTTAAAAAAATATTACTGATTTACAAAATGAGTTATCATCAGTGTCATACTGCTTCCTTTTGTGCTCTTTTAGCTTCTGAAACTTTACAGAAAGTGTCAATAGTTTTTTTTTCCAACAAGTATTTTCACCGTGGATCAAAAATTTCCAATGTTTACTCTATGAATTAATTTGAGCAACATGTTTTTTGACAACAAATGTTCTAAGAAATAAAAATAGTATATAATCTGAATGCCCATGTATGTTATTTCTAATGGAATCAATTTTCCTCCAATCATAAGAATTTGTTAAATATATATTTTTATTTCTGATAAATGAGCTACACTTTTACATCATTTGATATAGCATAAAAAGGAATGGCAGTTTAATATACTTACAAAGTAAATACTTTTAACATTGAAATAATTTAAAATTAATTAATAATTATAATAGAAATTGAAATATAATTATTTTCTTAACAATAATGTTTTATTATTCATGCATCAAATTTATATATTGAGTTTATTTAAATGCTTTCATTTCTCATATTAACATCATCTTGATGCAAACTTTTCATATAAAATGTTCATAACATTTGCTAGGTAACACTTCCCAGTTATAAATATACCCTACATCATTTACATTAATATTTTCATATGGTTCATTCTTATAATCCAGCAACAAAGATTTCATTTCCGTTGGTGATACTTTATGCAATACAATATGCAACAAACTCATTTTTCTTGGATTTGCTTCAGTATTGAATCTTGGATCATGCCTTCGATAAACATTGTTTAAAGGAGCCAACCAGGCACCAACAGAAACATCTTCACTATTAAATTTGCTAAAGAAGAAGAAAATTGTTATTTGGGAGGTTTAAAACTAATTTTATAATATATATTTGCAAAAATAGACTTCAAATAGCACTTTATGTTTAGACATAAATTTATAAAATTTTTAATTTAATTATAACAAAATATTAGCTGAAAATTACCTGAAATGTTGGTCATTATTTACAATGTACTTCACTAAATAGGCACTAAGAATATAACCACCTCCTAGAGCATATGGTAAGTAACGATCACAAAGAAACCATTCCTTCTCAGACCAAGGCCCACTATGTTTTACTCTAGCTGCACCATTGAAATATCCCCAATATAACTGTGGCCTAAATGTAATATAAAATACAGAATTTTAAGTGAATTACATTTCAAATAATAATAAAGCAATGTACAAAAATAAAATTATATGTTTTTGTACTTACATGGAAGTATTATATTTGTATATCTCCATAACATTATGATCATAAGCTTCTAATTCTTCAATAATGGTGTCTAATTTAATGAAGGAATCATCATCACATTTTAATATATATTTAAATTTATACAATATCGAAACTTTTTCGAAAGTTTGAACTATCTTATATGTAAGAGATCTATATGAATCATTTAATGAAGGCAATAATAATATATCATCAAACTTCGAATTTTCTAACTTTATTGAAGAGATGATGTCAGTAGACAGGCCATTGGTACCAATCGAAAACAAATGTTTCACCTTAAATCTAGTCCTACTAAAATGCTTTTGTGGCCTCAATTGAGCTGAATCAGTCTTTAACTTTGCGGCATATTTAATGAGCCTCTGTTTTTGAATTGATGTTGTGTCCTTTTTCAGAAATCCTTCTTGGTTATAAATAGGTACATCCATGTAGTCTAAAGTAGACTCAAATGAGTTATAATTAATATTGTCTTTCAACCGTAACCACGTCTTACGAATTGCATCTCTTTTATGATAATTTTGAGGTGATGTTAATATAACTAAAATAATATCATAATTAGGAACATCTAGGGAGGCAGGTATAATGCAAATGTCGGTATTAATATATGATAAAAGATATCCTAAAATAAATGACGAGAAACCGACATAAATCAATTTTATATTGCGATATAAATGTAATCTCATTATTATAGACTAGCAGTATTTTAACATAACCCCATAAACTGTCATGTTATTTATTTTTGTGTTTTGACTGTCATGTATTTGACACATTATTTAATTGTGGCCACCCTAGACAATAGCTGGAGAAGTTCAATTAATTTTATTAAATACAAGCAGTGGTGTTGTCGAGCCGGAACGTCGTTCCGGGAAATCATTTTTGGGCCGGAACGCGTTCCGGCAAAATTTTTTTAAAAAAAATCGCTACATATACAGAAAATGATTTAATAAGTTAATTTTATAAATTATAATTCAACTAATTTTTATTAAATGTTCCTATTTATTAAATAGGTTTTGTAATGATTTTTGTTTCTTTCTTTTTCGAACGGAACCGGAACAAACATGAAAACCGGTTTTTGAACCGGTTTATGAACCGGATTTTAATTTAAGCGTTCCGGCAAAAAAATATTAGCACAACACCACTGAATACAAGCGATATAATTATATTCTCATCGAGCTTATTTATATATTCAGTAAAACATTTAGTTTATGTGCCTTGAGCTGTGATATGGTTTTTGCTTATGCTTATTTATCTAGGGTTTTTGCTCTATATTTATCGAAATTAAAAAAATATGGAGTAGAGATACATCAAATGGCTTTTAAATTTCTGAAATCGGTTTAAGCGTTTTTGAACAAACGTCGATGAAGGTTCCAATTATGAACAATGCCAAAAAAACGATACTAATTTTTAAAATTAAACGACTTGTAGGGCCGTAATATTTTAGTATGATCTATAAGACTATGTATCTACCCCCACATAGCTGTCAAAAAATATATCAAAAGGCGTAGAAAAAAGATTTTTTAACACTTTATTACAAGAAAATGGCCCGGCCGATCTTAACCAAAAGCTAATCAGCACGAATCTCAACCAATATCTTTCGAACAGTTTTACAATTTTCAAAATCGGTTCAGAATTGCGGGCTTAAACGTGGACGAAAAATTTGCAAATCTGCGATTTACAAAGAAATGGCTAGGCTGATCGTCGCGCAAAGTTGATAAACGCTAGTCCTCATCGAGTTGCTTTTAAATTTTTGAAATCCATCCAGTTTTGAGAAAACGTTGATTTACAGCAAAAAATCTGTTCACACATATGCATATACACACACACATACTTAACGCATACAAAAAATACACTTTAATTCTGAACAAATTTAAGTCGTGTTCTTGGTTTTTATTAATTTAAGCAAATTATTATTATTAATTTACTATAAGCAAGAAGTGAATAAGAGAAAACACAATGAGCCAATAAATCAATTTTAATAATAATAATAAATAGTAGACCGAAAACAGGTTCATGGTTAATTTATCAAAAATCGATCTTGTATTTTAGTATGATTTTAGTTAGTACATGAAAGTTCTAGATTATGTCACAAGCGGCGCTTCGGAAAATATTTGCATTTATACTCTTCTTTTATCTATGATTTGCATGTAGATATGTTGTATTTATGTTTACTTATCTATGGTCTAATGCAAAGAACCGTTAAATAAATTTCACTAACTGGTGCGTGTCTTGGGATGTCGTTCGACGTTGGTAGCATTGTTTGTTTACAACATCTTTGAATTCTGCGATTCGTATCTTTGGCGTATAATTAAGCGGAATATTTACTAGCGGTAGCTTGTCACTCGCACAGTTTTATACTCGCTCTTTGGCAAATCGGTCTTTAGCAAAAGTGCACATAAAGGTTTTACCGGTTTATTGTATCGTACTAATATATAATAATCACAATGGCTGATGAATACTTTTACGGTAAGTGATAATGTACTATATCTATATTTCATGCTCCAAGTAATATTTTGTTTAATACTTGTGTACTTCGCATGAAATTAATCTCAACATGTTGGCGTCGTAGAATCCTTTGCCGATCTTTGATTCGCCATTATGAACATGCTGTTTCTAATTCTTGAATGCTGATAAGCATATATTTTTCAAGCGTATTTGATAGGATAATTAAGCTGAATTGACTTTATATGCTCCTAACATAATATAAATTGTGTAGGTATAACTTTATCTGGAGCCGGCGCCACTGAAGTTTGGGATCCCGAAACAAAAGCAGAGGAATACCCAAGAACAAATAAGCTTGTTTTAAGACAGGCTCTATTAGGTCATGAAGCTAAAGAAGGCGAATACAATGTCGTACAGGTACTAATAATCTCACTAATTTCATAATTACATTCAACGTAATTGTTTCGTTATATTATCTAAGAAAAAAAAGTTGAACTTATATTAACTACTCTCTTTATTTTAGGTTGAAACTATGTCCATTCGTGATACCGTTAAGACCCCAGTAGCAGTTCTTAAAGTTGGTGAATCTCGACAATGCCGTTTGGATTTAGAGTTTCCAGATTACCCAGTTACATTCACCTTGATACAAGGATCAGGACCTGTACATTTACATGTAAGTCACCTTTCTTCCAGACATCATAAATTACCTCCACTAGAAATTATCTATCAAATTATGCTGTTCTTATATATTGTTGATTATCTCTGCTCATTGTTCAATCCAGAATTAATAAATTTACAGAAAATATTACTTGTAAATCACAATTAAATTTTAAAATCATGCTTTTCATAAACTTACATATGGGTTTATGTAAATTTACATAACATTATGTATGTTTACATATTTATTTGTTTATTTTTATGGGAAATATTTTCTTTATCCAGTGTTATGTATCCAATAAAAACAAATTTTACATTTTTGTTTCTATATACCTAAATACCTTTTAAAGATGTTATCAGACTTTCCGAGTATTATTTTAAAGTAATTTTATCATCGTTTTTTCAGGGCCAGCACTTATTTGGTGCCCTTGTTGAAGAATTTGAAGACATGGATGAAATGGAAGAAGAATTGTTAGATGAGGAGGAGGATGAAGATCAAGCTGTAAGTGTTTTTTCATATCTATATAAATTTCATATACTTGAATATTATACCTTAATATTCAATATCAGCATTTGTGATGTTCTTTAATGAAAGCAAGTTCATTCAATCATTTTGACATATTTAACTTTTGTATGCTGTTCAATTGCCACTTCATGGCATTAAAGACTGGCAGCCTAATTTTGGTTACGTTTTCATAAACATAGCTTTTGTTAAAATGCATAGCAAGTACATGAAAATATGTCAGTAAACAAGCCCATACCTGAAATGCATTTTGCTTGCAGGATGGTCCCAAAAAACGCAAATCTGGAAATAAGAGGGAACATGAGGTAGAAAACAGCCATTAATTTTCATTTTTATTTTAATTTGCTTTAATCATTTCATTATTTTTAATTGAGCATGTATTTTTTTTGTTGGTGAGTGACTTTTTGTAGTATTATAATTGTTACGTTCATCACGAGTATGGGATCTGTACATGGTAAATAAATATTTATTTTATTGTTTCAGGATGAGGATCAAGAAGAAGAAGATGGACCCAAAAAGAAGGCTAAATTAGCAAATAATGCAAAGGGTAAAGCTGGTGCACCAAAGAATAAGAAGAAATAATTGATTTAAAGTCGAAATTCCAATTTGTTGTACTTTATAAGAGTAAAGCAATTTCACTCACATCTATAATGTGTATACATGTATTACATTTTTATTTTATTACCTTGGAATATTGACATTTTGAATGAAACATTAGTAATTTTGTTGTTTAAATGCTCACCTATTACAGTAATAACTTGTATGTATGTTCTAAACCTTTTTAAAATTTAGAAATGTAACGAGTTATGTGGATATTTGTGATCTATGCTGAATGATACTATTTAGTGGACAAAATTGCAGTTCTGCATTAACCTTTTGGTGAGAATCTTGCAATCCAATATTGTGTAGTTTTAGTTTATAATGTACATATAAGCAACCTTAATGTAAGCATTAATTTAATCAATAAAATCTTTTCTATATCATTTGATTTATTGAAATGTATTTGTACTTGCAAATTTTAATTCAATTTTTCAGTAATTGAACTTTGGCGCTGAAGACTCACAGTTGAACTGCCTACAACTTCACTATAAACGCCATGTTGAAGTATCTTTATTCGTGCGTTCATTTTGGGTTTCACGTCATTTAAATATTTTGGCAATGGATACGCAACGCGCGTTAAACAACAAATCAATTAGTGACAAAATAACTAGTTTGTTAGATTTAAATGAGTTAAACCAACAGGAGGCTATAGGAATCGGAGTCTCTTTAGTAGACGACAATGTCAACGCTACATCTTTAGAGCATAGTGATAATTCTAATGTAAACACAGGATTATTACAATTTTCAGAAAATCATGGAGATGTTGATAAAGAGTTGGCAGATCATTTATCCAAGATCTGTAGAACTTGTTTAGAAGTCAAGTCTGATTTGAGGCCTTTATATGAAAATTGTTTGTCAGATATGGTTATGGCTGTTGCTGCTGTTTCGGTAAATGTCAATTTTGTAATGCTTGTTTAACGAAATTTTTTATTGGTCCAATCAACATTGAGAATGACAGCATAAAATTAAATAATTGCTATAATTCTTATATTAAAAAAGTTATAAATTTTATATTTTTTCATCTTTTTTACAGGTACTTATATATTTATATGATAATAATTGGGTCTTGGATTCGTATATGTTGTATTGAACTTAATCAAAAATTTGTTTTTAGTCTTTTACAAAGTTGCATTGCAAAATCTTGTTTTGAATTTTGTTTACATAAGCCTATTTTCTGTTTACATATGGAATTTTTGTTATATATCATACTCATTCATAATTTTCATGGTTTATTTTATAATCCAATTATTTATATTCATTACTATATTAGTTTTTTGTTTATTTATCTTCTAATTAATATCAGTTCTTTGTTAAGTTGAAACTAGTCCCAAAACGTTGATAATAAATAATCATTCTGGTTTTTTATTTGTTATTTGATTTCTTATTCGAAACTTAACCTAATACATATTTATATGTATAAACAATTTTTTAGATGTATTGTATTAGCGATATTCATTTTTACTAGAAATATTTAAGTACTTTGGTTATTTTATATTTATACTTACTTTAATCACAATCACATGAATATTTCATTAAGTTAAATTGTTTATTATACTTATGCAAACAAAAATAATTTTTCAGATGGTAGAGGATGATGGATTGCCCTCTCAAATCTGTACACAGTGTCTTCTAAATGTACATAAAAGTTTTGCTTTCAAACAACAATGTGAAAGAGCTGATTCAACTATTCGTCATTACATAAAGGTAGTATTTTAAGCATCAAATTAAATGGATACAAGTGTTAAATATTTATATGTATATTAACATTATTAGAAGCAATCAGACAGAAAAACTTTCTTCTATTCAGAAATTCTATGCCTCAATTACTGAACTGTTTTATAATTGACATTATTTTGATTTAACAATATATATGCATTGCCATTACTTCAGGGTTTTATAGCGGGTGAAAAATGTGATCTATTGCTGCCTCCTGATAGTGATTATGCTGATTTCACGTATGTTTTATTCATGTAAATTTTATTAATAATAAACAATCTAATAAATTTACTTTTATTAGGGATAAGTTTACTATTATTAAACCTGAATTATCAGAGACTGATGAACAACAACGTGACTCAAAACCTCATTTAACATTATTGAATCAGGCGGAGATTGTAGAAATGACATATATTGATGATACTACTGAACTTTCAGAAGACCACAGTCAGTAAATTCTGTTGATTTTTGCATAATTATCTATTGAATTTACCTTAATATTGTATTTTCTTTTTTTTTTTTAAGATATTGTGAATGAAACTGAAATATCATCTGGTATTAATGATTTTGAAAATAAATCAAATAACATATTGACAGAGGTTTCAATTGAAAATCAAAACATAGAAAATAGTAAAGATGGTAGATGTAGAAGGAAAATAAAAAAAACCATTGATGATGAGGAATGGGAAAAAGATGACTCATATCTCTGTGATTTTTGTGATAAAAGGTTATTTATTAAATATTTATTTATGGTTTATCCATTATTTTAAACTTTTGATATTGTATAATTTCAGTTTTAGTGATAGAGAAGAATTAGACAAACATTCAAAGTGCCACCAGAAGAAAAAGAAACCATTTATTTGTACAGTATGTAATAAAAAGTTTTGTGGTGAGCAATAATTGTGATTTAATTTAGTCGTAAAAGAATTTATGAATTTATAATTAGTATATCATATTTCAGATCAAAGAAAACTAACTAGACATAAGCGGATACACATGGAAAATAAATTGTATAATTGTGGCCTCTGCAAAAAGGTAAGTGATTATTTCAATTTCTAATGAAATGGAGAAAACAAATATTAAAATTAATGATGGCAGTATTAATATGAATAATAATTTATAAGTAATATTGCACAAAATTAGAATTGTTTGTCAAAATATAAAGTTTAAAAAATTAATTATTGATTATTGTTTACCTTGCAATCATATTTTATTGTGCATGTTTGAAAAGGTTTTTTATAGTATTAATTATTTCAGGGTTTTAATGAATCGGGTGACCTTAAAAGGCATATGCGAAAACACACAACTGAAGAATCTCAAAATAAAAACTTTCCATTTCCATGTTCAGAATGTCATTTGGGTTTTACCTTGAAAGGTGATTTAGAAATACATTCTTCGATACATTCAAAAGATGGTAAACATGTGTGTAATCATTGCAAAAAGGAATGTACAAGTAAGTGAATGAAATGAATATTTGTTTAAATTTTATATCTGCCATTTGATATCTGATCATGTGTTATGATTATCACTCAAATGTGACTTATCGCATTACACAATTGTGCTCTAAGCTCAATGATTCATGAATGGTTGTTTACATTTTATATTATATTATGAAATAATTTGAAAAAACATTTAATACATATATTTTGTTCAATTTGTTACAAACTATATTAAATATTAACTTTATGTGATTTTTGTTTCCACGATTAAAAGTGGCTTTGATAATTTTGAAGCTTATTAGAAGTCAAACTTTGGGTTATTAAAAATCAAAGCATTTTATTTGTTGCATTATCAATTTATCGAAAAGTTTCTCAGAGTTGTCAAGTTACCTCATTTACTATTTAAGGATTTTCTGTTTAAATTTTATTAAAAATTTACTTTTATCTTTTTATAATAATTTATGATATAAATTTCATAATATTTTAGTAGTTTGTGTTATATATTAATGGTTCAATTTTATCTAATTATTTTTTTTAGCGAGTTTACAGTTGAAAAGACATGTTCGTATTCATTTGGAAGATAAGCCACATAAATGTACGTTATGTGGAAAGGGATTTCCAGAAATGGGCTCTTTGACACGACATGCCCGGCTACATACTGGTGAACAGAGGGAGAAGAAATTTCTTTGCGTTACTTGTGGAAAAGGGTATATTCTCATATTTACTCGCATAAACTTTTATTCATTTTTGACAATGCTTCATGTAGAAAAAGAAAATTCTTTGTAAAGATTGTATTAATTAGAAAAATCTTAATGTAAATGTATAATTTAAGTGAAAATATTCAATTAATTAAAGAGATAATGCCTGTGTCAAGTATTATTTTTGTGTCAATAAGACCATATTAAGTAAGTCTAGACTCTAGACCATATTATGTATTTGCTGTTATGTAACATATTAATTAGTTCAAGTTTTGTTTAATTTTTTAGCTATTATGACAGCCATTCTTTGGGAATTCATATAAGAACTCATACTGGAGAGAAGCCTTGGGTATGCAGCACATGTGGAAAAGCATTTATTGATTCGCGATTATTAAATTCACACATGAAAACACATTCGAATGAAAAACCATATTCTTGTCAAGTTTGTAGTAAGAGGTATGTGTGATTTTTTTAACAAAATTTAAAATTTGATATGTTCTACTAAAACCACATAACTTATAATAAGTAATTAGATGTTTCTATAAAATTAATCATTTCTTTGTTCTTCAGTATAAGAATTGTAGTATTGTTCTATGCACCTCTATCTTACACAAATTGCCTTCCTGGCCTGAATTAATGCAGTTTTTAATAACAAGACCTTCACTAAACTTTACATTTTAATAAATTGTGCTAAGCATTTTTATTAAAGATGAAATGCTAATTATACTACAGTTATTTGGATGCTTCACTCTTATTGCAAAGTTAATTAACACAAATAAAGTTTTTTGGGATATAATCAAAGTGTTAGGATACTATAACTTATAAATAATTAGTTTTTTTCTATAAAATTATTCATTTCTTTGAGTCCTTAGTGCAAAATACATCATAAATATGAATATACACCCAACAACTTTTAAATGTGATTTAATATAAATATTTCTTTTTATTAGATTTACTCATCAGTCTACACTCACCACACACATAAGAACCCATACTGGAGAAAAGCCTTACATTTGTAATGTCTGTGGAAAGACATTTATTCAAAGTTCTAATCTATCCTTACATATGCGTACTCATTCAGGTAAGCTGAAAAGAATAGAAAAACTAAATATCAGACCTTTTTTTGGAAATAGTATGATTTACTTCTTTCTTATGTAAAATTTACATAAGAAATTATTACACAAATTATTATTATTAAATTAAATATTATATTTATGTATGAATCTAATTAATTCACTTATCATTACAATATTTATACATAATATTTAACTGTGTTATCAAAATATGATATTGATTTGTTCTTTATTTCCAGGAGAAAAACCTTACAATTGTTCTGTATGCAATAAAAACTTTGCATCATCATCAACCTTAACAATGCATATGAGGATTCATACAGGAGAGAAGCCCTACTTTTGTGAAATTTGTGGTAAAAGGTTTGTATATTTTTGATTTTCCTCTTTTTTTATTTTAAAAATAAATATCAAATTATATTAAAGTTAATATACATTAATAAATAAATTTGTTTTTGAT